AATTGTTACAGGTCCTATCTTCCTAAGGGACTCTCGTTGATGTTCATTTCCAATTTCTTGCAGTTTACTTATTAGTATTATAATTATTGTTTATTATTTCCTTTGATTTCTGGTGTGTTCTATCTGTCCTGTGAGTATCAGATTTTTCAAGCCCTCTTTCCTCATTACGTACCCTAGAAATGTCAACTGACTCTTCCTGATGTTAAGTATAAGTTTTTTTCTTTATTTCCATTCTCTCCAATACCTTCTCGTTGCTCACATGTTCAGACCCATGGTATCCTAAGCATCTTTATATAGAACCACATTTCTGTTGCTTCAAGTCTCTTCTTCAGCTTTGAGAAATTTGTCCAGCATTCGCTGGCATATAAATATGTTGATATCACGTAACAGTTCAGTACTCTTTTCTTTGTTTCTAACGAAATTTTTCTGTCTCTTAATACTCTGCTTAGCTTTTGGAATGCATCTTTAGCCATTCCAGTGCGTCTTCGGATCTCAGTGTCACACTTTCCGCCCTCTGTTAGAACAATTCCTAGATATTTAAATGTCTGTACTGGTTTGATTTTAGTATCCCCGACCTGTACTTTGCTTTTAGGGCTCATCCTTTTGCTGATAACTATGCATTCTGTCTTCTTATAGTTTATGCTTAGTCCTTTTTTCTCGTTTTCATTCGCTACCTTCACTACGAAGTTTTGTAGTTCCCCTTCTGTGTCTGCTTTTAGCACTCGGCTTTTCAAATAAAATCCACCTTTGCGCCTATGGCCATTTTAATATTGTCTCAGTTCTATTTTAGGACATTATTAAAACCGATAATTTTTTTTCTGGCAAGACTTTAACTATATAAAAAGACGATGGCCATAGGGAATAGTTTAAAATGTGGGAGATATTTTTGCCGCACTCTGTATCTCCCTTTATGAGGTTGGCTCTACGGTGACGCTTTGTTTATTTACATGTCGTTTAACAATGTTCTTAATATTTTCTCAGATCTGTTTAAGAATTGAAGAATCGGAGAGCCGAGTTCGAATTCCAGTCGGATCCATTATATTCACTTACGTGCTAATACTCTTGGGAAATGTATAAAACCTCTTCTTCTCCCCTAGCTATAGGTAATAGCAGGACAGGCTGGGTTCTGTAGGCTTGGTTGGCACACGGTCTATGAGAAGGTAGCTCTGAATTAAAAACCGGCCTGGAGTGGTTTGGCCTCCGTCAGGCTATCCTGCCCAAGATAAAGGCACTTCTACTACGGCTGCAGTACATCTGTTGGCCCTACGACCCTGATAGGTCACTCGGTCTTTTTAAGAACTTTATAACGATGGACATGTTTTTATTGATTTACTTTCTCAATGTTTTCAAATTTCATTTTTAATTAGACTATGTTCAAGTTTTCGGTAATTTAAATCGTTCTCTCACTATCACATATATTTTATATATATATATATATATATATATATATATATATTATCGTTTGACGTTATATTATTTTCATGAGGTTCAAAAATCTTTATCGATTTGTAATTAAAAATAAAAATCAACGAATACTCCTACACATCACTTAACGACCGAAGTGGCTGCCAACAATCTGGTCGCTAAGTGGAAAGTTGTACCTGATTGCTATTTCGGGCATCCTAAAAAAAAAAAACTCCATTGTTTCTCACGTGTCTTTTAAATGAAATTTCCAGAATTCATGAATATAACCACATAGGGGGTCGGGTAACTTCTAATTTTATCTCTAAACCTTCTGCATGAAGTGGAAAGCTTTTTATGGTATCAATTCGATATCCAGCCGTAATAATCCTCCTCAGGAACAGAGATTCACAGTACGTCAACCCCTAAGAGTTATGCTCAACTAGGTGAGGTCAGGCAGCTGAATGCAAATTTGGAGCAATGAATATGATACTCACTATAGCCAATATTAATTCCCCAAGTCAAAACCTGTACATGTTAACGCCTCCAAGCAATTAATATCGGAAGCCGTCAGAGACATGACTGGTGCACCACCAAGGAAATTATTATTATTATTATTATTATTATTATTATTCCCTCCCTTAGTTAGTTTCCTAGCTATTTCGCATGACCGTTACTCCCTGCTAGCATCCCATAATTAAAGGACTATTCTGTTTTGACCGCATGAAAACACGGAAATGACATATCAGAGTAAGAAGATGAAAGACGGAAAGAGTGAAAGAAGCGAAGAGAGAAGTGGTTAACGGATGTTGCAGGGAAATTAAAAAGTCATCAATTTTAAATCTTCTCATTTGTATCCTCTTCTTAAAATAACAATCAGCCTTCATATTTATAATTCTTATTGCAATATTTAGTTAAAGTTGTTTAGCTCAAATATTTAACGATGCAACAGGGGACTTTCTACGGATAATTCATTGTAGGAGAACTTGCCATGAGCTTATTCAATCATTAACTGAAGAATTAAGATTCCACAGAAAATTAAAATAGGAAAACCCTGATTTGTCACGGGTCTTTCTAATTATTATTATTATTATTATTA